TGTATGGAATTCAGAATGGACTAGAATAAAATGGGAAAAAATCCCAGCCTGTTTACCTTGGCCTCTTCTAATCTATAATCAGGAGGAATTGTTTCTTCTTTTTCACCAAGTTTTTCATGGTCCTCTTCTTTGGCTTTCTCCTGAATAAAAATTAAACTGTTCATTGTTAATTTATCTTTTCCCTATAAAATGGATAATTGAGTGACTGAATTTGAGGTAAATAAATCCACCATTAGTTTAGAACATACATATGGCCTTATATTCAAGTTCATCTAGCAACTTAATCTTGAAGACTATAGTTCAGACACCACCATAAAGCAAGCCGGGCTGAAAGGCAGGCTATGAGGAGCAGGAGACAGCTGTCGATTTCTCTCAGGATCCTCAGCAACGTGAATGCAGGCAGGCAAAGGGAGACTTGGAAAATTCTGATATATGAGTTCTATCCACCCACCACTGCAGTTAAACACGCATGCTTACTCAGGCTTAACTTATTAAGCAGAATATGCACGGTAATGGAGAAAGCCATCTGGTCATATTTTGTGGGAAATATTTTAGAAAAAAAACTTACGAGTGCACATCAATGATAGTTATTATCTAGAAGTTTCTGAGCTGCCATTACCTTGACTTTATCCACCACAGGTTTTCCATCTTCTGGATCTGCTTCCTTTTTCCCCAGGCTATCAGCCAAGGCTTCTACGGCATCATGTGGCACCACGCCCTTCTAGAAGTACATCAGGGGATATCCTAAGTAGGTAGTTAATCACTCCTTTTAAAACAGACTATATCAAACAATTCAGAAAGGTATGTCCTTATTCCAGGCCTAGATAAGAAGCACACATCACCTACTAATTTGAGCATCAACTGAATTGGCATCTATTTTTTTTAATATATAAAATGTTAAAAATTAAAGAAGTGTCCTACACTAAATATTAAGTGTGCACAACTTATATAATAATGTTGAGAAATTTATGAGATCTAACTCAGCATATTTTGGTTTAGAAACAAGGAAGGCAATGGAATGAGGTACCATGGAGAAGCTGGAAGTCAGAAAAGAAGAAAAAAGTGACTTTCATGGAGATCATTTTATAAATGGCACAGGAAAGATTTTCAGTAAAGCCCACAAGAGGACACTCTTTCCAAATGTCTGTGAAATCACCTGGCCTGTCACAAGGGAGGAGGCTAAGATGAGTCTACACATTTTCCCTGAGCACCTTCTACTGGTCAAAGCAGATCCATGGCTTATTCAGATGCTCTGCCTGTGACAGGGCTAACCTGAATGGCATACGGAGACCCGTGCTTCATTGTTCAAAATGAAACATGTTCCCTCTTGATGTAATGGGCTCCAGCCACTCTGGTATTTAAAATGAAATACAGACGATGTTATAAAGGGAAAATAAAGGAGAAATTATGTTTGGGCTAAAAGATAGGACTAGACCCGAACTTTGGGTCAGGATTCATTCATTGTTGTTCCTGTGTGACACTGAGATCGATTCTTACTCACAGCAACCCTATATGACAGAAAAGAACCACCCCATAGGGTTTCGTAGGCTGAAATCTTTATGGGAGCAAATCTCCAGGTCTTTTCTTCTGTGGAACAGCTGGTGGGTTCAAACCACAGACCTTCGGTTGGCAGCTGAGCGCTTAACCATTGTGCCTCCAGGGCTCCTTGATTTATTCATTAGTGACTCATAAAATCAATTTAATGATTTGTGACCAGGACTTTTTTTTCTTTTTAAAAAAAAAACAAACAAAAATAATGGAATTGAAAATAGAGTGCAACATACATAACATGGATAAGTTCCATTCATTAAACTGCTGTTTCCGTTGTGTGGGTACTGGGTTGCAGTGTACACCAATTTCCTACTCTTGGTTTTGATCAAACAAAAGTATGAAAGTCCCTGGATTAAATGGTCTCAAAGTTTATTCTTATCACAATAATCTATAACCTCACATTGAGTACCTGCTGGAATTATAGAGTAAAAGTGTCTTTTCTGTTTATATATCTTAGCCATCATTCCAAGTTAGAAAAATTGTTTTCTTTCTTAAGCTGCACTGCAAAAGCCAAAGCTCGCCAATGCAGAACGGCAGACTGAGTGGGAAGTAATTTACCGCCATCTGGTGGCTGGACACTACACTGATCTCTCTTCCCAGGAGCAACAAAAATCCCTGATATATCTAACCTGTTTGGGGTTATATTTAAAGTGCAAGAGTTGCCCCTGTGCCCAAGTCTTAGTCAGCCAATCTGAGTTGCTACCTGATCCCAGACACCTTGCTCCATACTTTCCTTCCTTTTTCCTGTAACCTCTTCTGTAGAATCTTTGGAAACCACTGCTTCCCAAATCTATGCCCTTTGTCAACCTTTGGTTTAACAACTTAGTGAAACAGTTACAGAAAAGCTAGGAGTAGAAGCAGTCTTAAGAACTAAGGAATCTGGAAACAGGACTAAGGACTAAAACTTCCATTTCTGTAGTGTTTCACATTGTCACTGGATTTCCTTAATAAATTTTCTTTTTATACAAATAAGAACCACAGAGGGAACAATTTCATCTTTCTCTGATTTTACTCTCTGTGGCCCTTTGCTCACTAATCCGTCAGCCTTTCTGGAGTCCCTTGACCTTTATCACACTCCTCAGCTAGTCTTTCTGGCTTCTAAGGGTGGCACAATCCCAGAAATGCCAACTGCTTCAGCAACCGTAGCTGGAATTGGTGGGGCAGAGACCCAAGAAAGGAGGTCAGGAAATCAGAAAACAAGAGCTCTGTTTTTATGTCCACTAAAATTACAATATTTGACTCTCCACGGTCAGGGTCAAGTTGGAAAGGAACTAACCGAGTCCTCTAGGCCCTGGCGGTCGTAGATGGCGCATGTTTTGGTCACAAGAGTTCTCCCCTGGAATGCTGGCTATTATCTTTTCGATTCTAAACACTGCCTCTGATCCAGTGTCTCTCGCCAGTCTCTTCCCACATTCCCTCATCCTCTCCTGTTTTTTACCACTGTGACCTGTGGCCTGGAACCCACAATGTAAAAGTCTCTGGATGGTGCCCTCAAACTGAAAAACAACAGAAACAAAAACAGGGTCAAGTCCTGTCAGAGGCAGGAGGGAGACCCTGGACTCTCACGTGTTTGCGGTTGGTGCCCAAACAGCCCTGGCAGGAAGCAGCCACCTCACAGTACCCAAGACCTTTGTCCTATACTTTCTTAAAGGCCACTCTTTCTCAAACTACTGAATGCACATATCCCAAGGACACTGCGTGCTTCACACCCCTGTGTTGGCCTGTCCTCAGTTCACTTTCTACCCAGGAAAATGGTGCTATTCCTGCTTCTCAGTGTGATCCTGTCTTCCACTCGCAAGCCTTTCCTAATTCCTGCTGGAGAGCAGTTCCTTCACCTGTGCTCCCTCTGTCCTCTTTGCATACAGGAATAATCAAATTGTCCTTTAAGCTTGTGATCTGGCTGATAGTCACACTAGCTAGAAGGCAACTGACAGCAGGGGCCGTATCTCTTATCTTATTCTCAGCTGAGGCTATTGAAAAGTTAAGTGCCTGTTCTAGGTCAGCCCAAAGCCTCCTTTCCCTCGTCTCTACCAGGAAGATGATCAGAACAGACCTTGTGAAATTTAATCAGAAAATATTGTAAAACATCTTTAACAGTATCGTAGGTGATGAAAGTTAGCTGTTCAAAGTGCGGATTCAGTAAGTCTGTAGTACGGAAACATACTTCTACCAGATGTTATTCTATGAGCAAGGTTATATCATAAATAACTGAAACAAAACTCACTGAATTCAAAGGAAAACAAAGATTCAACTAGCCAAATATCATACGTCATATACAAATTGGAAAGAGAGAGAAAGACAAGAAATGAAGAAGGGAAGGGAATGGAATCGATTTGCCCGTCTTTGGTTGGGAGACAGGGGAGGAGGCATAATGACTTTGCTGCAAATTGTTCTACCGAGACAGACACTAAAAAGTAACACTGGGCTATTTGTGGAACCTCCAATAGGCTCAAAAGACACACAAAAGTGAGGAAGTATGACTATCAACAAATAACTGAGGAACTAGAAAGAATTTCAGAAGGTGAAAGGAAAACACAGTCTGCTGCAATTGAATAAAAAAAAATTTAAATCTAGCCTGAATTTCTGGCACACTCCTGAAGTCCGAAGAACAGTAAATACAATAGCTATATCAGCTTTTCTTATTATGTCAGAATAAAATGGTGAAAACAACAGAATGTGTATGGCAGGAAGAACAAAACTTTCTCAAAACATTTCTCACGTGGCCCAAGGGACTACTCACTGAGGTAGCTGGCTTGGGCGGTGCTGACTGAATACTACACAGAGAGGTCCGAAGCACAGTATCTCTCTCAGGAGTTGGGGCCGGGGCCTTAGATTCCTGAGGAAAGAAGTAGGTAATCTGAATAACTTTAGAAATATCTCGTTAGGAGCACTGAACAATGGTGTACCAACAATATACTCTGCTGTATTATATGCTGTGAACATGATTCTTTCCAATGTCTAGGGATTTGTTGAGTAACAAAGAAGTCAAGGCACACTGAAACTCTTCAGCTATCATTATTCCAACCTAGTTTCATCTTTTACCTTAGATAGGTTACTTAACCTCTCTAAGATTCAGTTTCCATATCTGTAAAATGAGAACAATGATAGTACCTACATCTCAAGGGTTAATACGGAGCTGTGCTTTGCGTAGTACCTGGGAACACAGTAAGCTCAATAAATGTTAGCAATATTGTTATTATTTGTCATCATATAGCATAATATATAACAATAAATTAATATGTCAATTACATAGTGTAATACAATATCGTATATTTTTATATATCTGTCCAACAGCACTTTGTAAATATCTATATATAAATGCAAGGTAGTCACATTATCCCAGTCTTAGCATTACTACAGAACTTGTTAGAAATACAAATTCTTGGGTCCTGCCCTGAAATACTAAACCAGAAATTTAGGGAGTGGAGCCCAGTAATCTGGTTTAACAAGCCCTCCAGGTGATTCTGATTCAAGTTAAAGTTTGAGAACCACTGTAAAAAACAAAACACTGCCATCGAGTTGATTCCGACTCGTAATGACCCTGTAGGACAGAGTAGAACTTTCCTATAGGGTTTCCAAGGAGTGCCTGGTGGATTTGAACTGCAACCACTCACTGTACTAGCTTATTTTAATCACAAGAATAAATTTCAAACAAACTGGTTTTAATCCAGGCATTCAAGGAAGCCTACATTGTATACAAGGTGCTCAGCAGACAATCATTAACAGGGTATGATCTTTGCTTTCACAGAGTTCACTATCTATTTACTATTTATGAGTATTAGAGGTGAAGATGCACCAGCACTCAGTTGTAAAAAAATGCTCTAAGAGGGGCATACAAAGGAAGAACTACAGACCCCCTGCTGTGCTGCATTCTGGTTAATGAGGTGGAAGGGTAGGGGTATGGCTTGGAGAGGGAAAAGCAGGACAGCAAGGAGTCCAGGTTTTAGTAGAGCCTTAAAGGACAAACAGAACTTCAGCTGATCTACATGTAGGAGGAAAGGAAATTCCAGACAGAGGGGGCACCATGAGAAAAGGCAGGGAGACACACAAGTACTTATTGCAAGTTTAGTGATGTGAGGGCAAAACATGGTAGGAAAGGAAGCTGGAAAAATTAGCTGGGACCAGAATACATTAGTAGCGGACTTTTTATTTTGTAGGGAATGGGAAGCTCCTGAGGGTTGGGGACGGACATGGCCACAAACATGCTGGAAAGAGAGTAACTCTGGAGGACATAAAGGAGGGAGTGGGGGAAGATGAAGATATTTTGTAGGGAATGGGAAGCTCCTGAGGGTTGGGGACGGACATGGCTACAAACATGCTGTAAAGAGGGTAATTCTGGGGGACATAAAGGAGGGAGTGGGGGAAGATGTAGAGCCCACTGCAATCTTTAGGTGACAGACAATGACAACTACATCAGTTACAGAAGCAGGACTAGAAAGGACAGGATTCGAGAGATTTTTAGAGGAATAATTATAGGACACGGCCTCTGATTTGAGGATGAACGGATTAAAGGAGGATTTAAACTGAAGAAATAATACCAGGGTCAACTTGGGAAAAGGACATTCAGAAAAGGCAAGACAAAAGCTGCATGTGAAAAAGGATGGCATAACGGGCTTTTTGTCAGCCACTTCATGCTTTACGAGTTTTGCTCTCATATTTTTAGGATTATACAAAAAACAAACTAAAGATTATTCCTATTTAGAAACGTACTTCTACTTTTTCAGTTGGCTTAGATGGTTTTTCTTTACTTTTAGACTGGTCAAAATCTTCCAAAAGTTCATCAGTGAGTTCTGATTCACTCATGGGCTGTAATACAAGAAAAATTATATATTATGAAGTGATTAATTTTACTCTGCAAAAAAAAAGTTTTCATAGGGAGAAATTTTATTTCTCGTTAACATATATTATGCCATATTTTAGGATCTAAAACCAAAAGCCAGTTTATATACTTCTGAAAGCGTCTATATTTTACCAACAAATTTTATTAGTAGATACTTTAAAATGGGGTATATTTTTCATTTATCAATGTAGGACAAAAAATGTCATGAAACAACTGAAGAATACTAAATACCTCAGTACCACAAAAATTTTAATCGTTTATTTGGTCAAAACTTCTCCTGACACTCAAATTTCAGAAAAATTTTGTTTAAATGAAATAGCCTGTCTTTTCCAACGAAGATCTGTACAGTTTTTCTTTTCCCCCTAATCACTTCGTTCTGAATACATTAGAGGAAACGTAAGTCGTATACTCCTTTCCTATGACTATGTGTGCTTTTGGCAGCAATGTTCTGCTATCTTAGTTCTTTCAGTGATGCAGACAGAGATTTTGACTAACAACAGTAGGTAACCAATGACAGAATGGCACGGTGATTCAGAATCTGGGCCCCAATGTTGACAGCTTGAGTTTTGAGGCCTGACTCTGCTGTTTTCTAGCTAACTGACCTCGGGCAATTCACTTAATCTCTCTGAGTCTCAGTCTCCTCATCTGTAGAATGGGAATAGTAACAGTGCCTTCCTCATTCAGTGAGGACTAAAAAGCACTTAACGCAGTGCCATGTGAAGTGTTGTTAATTACCATCGTGACAGGTAACTAAGATGGTTGCTACTAACTCAAGGCACTACAGAATCTAAAGTGTTTGATCCCATGATTAAGATCAGCCTCTACCAGTGCTAAATCTAGTCTTAGAGCCATCTTGACATCAGCAGTTAATGTTCAAAGAAAATCAGTCTACTGATAATATGTAAGAAAATGATCATTCAAATACGTGAAGCATCGACAGAGATATCAGCCAAGCCTTACTGTCACAGAAGTTCCCCTCTCCTTAATACTAGCTTGGCATGTGTGTCTCCATAGTGAAATCTGGCCTGTCAAAAAGATCTCAGTTTATATTTTACATTTCTGCCAATGATCAAGTATCAGATAAAACATTCGCTAACCTCTGATTTTTCTTCAGGTTCTGGCAATAGTGGTTTTCCTTCTTTATCCTATAAATGAAAATGAAAATTTATTAAAATAAAACATCATTTTTGGGAATTCCAGGATATGAGAGGAGAGCTTGTTTTTCTTCCTTCTATTTGAGTTAATTTGTGTTTCATAATTACCTTTCATAAAGTATGAGAATGAGGAGGTGATAAGCAATATCAAATGATAATCAACTTGATTGCGTATCTCTAAGACGATTTTGCTGATTTAGTAGCTTATATAGACAGTTAAGCAGATACTGTTGATAAAATTTTACTAAATATGAAGTACATTTACTTTTTTTAAAAGTTACTAAAAAAATTTTTTTCCATCTACTGGACACAGCAACAGAAAAAAAAAATTATTTGGCAAGAAATGTGCAGCTACATTAATGAAGACTAAAAAAAATGACAAAAAAACTACACAAGGGCCAAGGGGGTAGATATCATTCCTAAACAGTTTTTGTTTCTCAGATATGAGGTTTCACGATTTAGAATATTTATAAAAATGAAAAGCTTTTCATATATAAGCATACATAAGAGTCACAACAGTTTTCCGTCGTGTTTATGCGTATTATTTCAAACTTACAAATATAATAGTCCACCATCCTCACCTCAAATCAAAATCACTAACAAAACCACCTTAATTGAGGATACCTATAAATAGCTGTAAGGAGCCCTAGTGATGCAGTGGTTAAGCGCTTGGCTGCTAACCGAAAGGTCAGTGGTTCGAACACACTGACCGCTCCGTGGGAGAAAAGACCTAGCGATCTGCTTCTGTAAAGATTAAAGCCTTGGTAACCCTATGGGGCAGTTCTACTCTGTCCCACAGGGTCACTATGAGTTGGAATCAACCTGGTGGCAATGGGTTTGCTTTGGTTTTTGTATAAACAGTTGTACATTTATATCTACCACTAAGAAGACCTATGGTACTTTCATCTATATGGCAGTTAAAGAAAAACCTGGTCCCAAATTGTTCCTTCTGCTTTTAAGTTAAGAATCTATGGCAGTCATTATTAATAACTGAAACACTTGAATTTCTGGGCATTTTAATGATGCCTTAGGAACTCAGGCAGGGACAAACTATCCCTCCGTGGGCCTAACAGTAATGGGCAGAGAGGAAAGGGTTCAGGGTTTTCAGAGTTAACTTTGAACTGGGACAGACATGTCCTTAGCATCAACGTATGGCTTTGACAACACATGACACAAGGCAAGACGAGTGTGCTGCCGTTACGCATTGTGGCTAAAAACTCACCGTGGCTGGTTTTAATCTGAACTTAGGTGGGATTGTTTCCTCATCTTCACCACACTTCTTTACTTTTTCTTCTTTGGCTTTTGCCTGATGAAAGTAGGAAAAAAAGAAAAAAGCATCTGGAGAATACATGTAAAATGAAATTACTTCTTTTACCTACTTCATAGGTTTGTAGAGAAGACCGAATCAGATAGACGTGTCTGGAAGTGCTCTGTAAAATACAAAGCACAAGACCATGGTAAGTGGCTACATGGAAGGCAGTGTGTGGTGACTGAGAGAAAACAAGGCAGAGCCAGGAGTCCTGGGTGGGTTTCACTCTTCTGCTCTCCTGTGCTCTGTGACGTTGGGAAAACAGCCTTTCTCCAGTTTGGTTTCTTTAGTTGTAAAATGGGGCTATTAATAATCCTTCGGAGCCCTGGTGGCGCTGTGGTTAAGCACTTGGCTGCTAACCGAAAGGTTGGCAGTTCCAATCCACCAGCCGCTCCGCAAGAGAAAGACCTGGCAATCTGCTTCTGTAAAAATTACAGCCTAGGAAACCCTACAGGGCAGTTCTACTCTGTCACATGGGGTCACTATGAGTTGGAACTGACTCCCCAGCACACAACAATAAACTTATGTAGCTCACTGACTTGTAAGGATCTCCAGAGAAAACTGAACAAAAGATCCTTTGAGGACGGTAAGCCTGGTACAGAAGTCAGTTGTAATCATTTTAATAGCCTTTACCTGCTTTAATCAATGAGGCTGTTAACGAAGGAGTGGGGTGGGGGGAACCCAACCAATTCTCATGAATGTTAAACCCAGTTCAGACATGGGAGAAACATCCCATCACAAATCGTGGCTGATCCATGGATGATTAATTTTACCTCTTCTGAAAAGACTCCTTTCAACAGCACCAGGACTTCACTGGGTTACTGGACCATGAACAACTAACCACATTAGAAATAAAATTGCAGCTCTATAGTAAATCACTGGCCTCCTAGGATGTAACATTTGCATTTTAAACTTCTGGTGAGTAACCATAAAGTTCTATGACATGGAATACTTTGTGCCTATATCAAGGCATGGATTTAAATTGTAAGCTGAGGAATTTATCTAAGGGGATGGGGAAGTCACTTAGCAAATCTGAGCCTAATCCACTGCTCCAATCTATATCTCAGCCTAAGACAATAGTTCTCCACTGACTGATTGAAGAAGCCCTGGTGGTGCAATGGTTAAGAGCTCAGCTGCTAACCGAAAGGTCAGCAGTTTGAATCTACCAGCCATTCTATGGGAGAAAAGATCTGTCAATCTGCTCCCGTAGGATTACAGCCTAGGAAGCCCTATGAGGCAGTTCTACCCTGTCCTACAGGGTCACTATGAGTTGAAACCGACTCAACAGCTCACAATGACATTGATAGATTAGTTAAATTGATTAATTAAAAAATTATTAAGCACCTTTAATGAGTCAGCCACTGTTCTAGGCTTTGGAATTACTGTTCTATTCCTCCAACTCTCAGCAAGAGATGAAAAGGTTTTTAACATTTCCAATTGTGTTCTACTTCACCATACCGGGGAAGTCCTATTAAGTAGCAGCATTCCCCAGTCCAGGGATCTGTTAGGTTTCCAGCCATAATGCAGCCTTCACGAAAGCCACAAGTCGCCTGTATAAGACTGCGGTCTCCACTAGACTCAGGCTTGTGGACAGCAGAGTCAATGCACAGCTAGATCCTTTCTTCATCTTTGGATCCTTTAAATGCCCTGCACTGTGGTTTGTGTATCGTAGGCACTGAAAAATGTTTTCTGAATCGAAACAGCACTCAACCAGGTAACCAAACCCAAAAATGGAAGAGATATATAATAAGGTAACATTGACAGAATAAACATTTATGCACCTCATCTCTGAAGCATTACACAGTTTTGCCACAGATAGCTTTCTAGTGTGGAAATGTGCTGGAGTGGTGGTGGACTCCTATAGGATGATATCAAACTTTGTGAGCTTTATCACAACATTAGACTCCCCAGGACGTAATGAATTTGCCATCAGGTACTAAGAATCCAGCTTAAGAATGCAGGGAATTGATGACTCTTCTTAACAAATATTTATACTTTGAATATGACTAAAAAGGAAAACTAATAAGTCAAAGGAGTGGAAAAGAAGAGTTCCTTTTGCTGGAATTTTAGGGGTTTACTGCTGCTCTGAGGTTTTCTAGAGGAAATTTAATACATTTCTATGCATCCCCCAAACTAGTCACTAAAACTGCTTTCAAAGTTCTTTTTACATCACTTTTTTACATTTACTGAATTGATTTTAGTTCCTCTAAGATTCTTTTTGCCCTAGGGCTTACATTCATAGCCACCCCCCCATATTTATTGTCTCATTCAATCACCCTAATTCTCTGTAAGGAGGTTGAGTCCAATCCACTTGAGGCCATGCAGCCCTCTGATGGTGGAACTACAATGGTCTCTGGATTCCCCTCAAGATTTTGCCAAGATCACCCTTTCCCTGAGACCACATTGCTTCTATCTGGCTACTCCAGGCCATGCACATTTCACACTGTGTTTTCAGCAAAGTTTCCTTTCTTTCCAATACATTACTTGGTCCTGGAGGACAAGGGCTACTGCTTCTCCTGCTCCCTTGCGTTCATCTTCATGAAGCCTATCGGGCCACCCTGTGCCCGGTAAGCCCTCCAGGAAAGTTGAAGATAGAAACTGGCCCATTTTGGACCAGGGCAGTCCCAGACTCAGAGTTGCTGGAGTCTGGAAGACTCACTGTCCCTGACGACTCAGAAGCAGGAAGTGACAGCAGAGACAGTGGCATTGTGACAGCGCCACCTATGAGCACCCTTCCTCTGAGCTGATCGGGTGGGGCTAATGAGGACCCTGAGCTTGGGCTTCCATCTCCCACTACTAACCTGTCTTGTTGGGAATGCCCCCAGGGCAACTCTCTCCTTCCCTTCTCCAGGTCCCCCATCACGTCCCCCAGAAGACTGAGTCTAAAGAACTCTACAAAAAATGTGATTGAACACTAAAATGTCCTACATTCAATGTAAGTTTGCTTTGGCTCAGAAGGCATGTCAAGATCTTGGAGTACGGAGGGATAACACTCATCAACATTATGCTGTAAATATTCAGGACCTCCAGTTAAAGAATAATTGTACTTGATTTTATTACGATTTGAGACAAATATTGTAACATTTTTCCTCATAGTTATCAACAGAGGAACCTCCCATCCCACCTACTGCCATCTCCTCTCTCCATAAATAGAAGCACCCAGAAACTTTCTGAAAATACAAATATCCAGTTTCCATGAGAGCAGGCACACCTCACTATTTCTTACGAGGCCACTGACACTACGTTATCTTGTTCAGTCATGTGTCATTTATACCTTGGCAAAGGAGATTAGTGTTCGTTTTAAGTATGAGAATTCTCCATGTTTTATAAGACAAAGACTCAAGTATCCTTCTTGGTTGCTAACTACCCAGCAATAAGTATCTATAGTAACCAGACTTTGAGAGTAAGGCAGAACACAGAGCTGTTCACTT